ACTTAGGGGAACACTTTGTGACACTCCCGGAACAGGAGATGGGAGGCCTGTAGGAGCTGCTATGAGTCATCTTCCACCATCCTGCCCAGCTTCTCTGGGAGGCTGTCTGAGACGTTCTCCATTGCCTCTCCGGACCTATGAGGTGTGGGGCTCTCTGCCCTACCCTCTCAGAACAGGGCAGCAGAATATAGCTGAAACCTCCTCCCAGGAGACTAGCTTGACCCCTCCACGACAGGGAAGCTGACACCGGGCCTGCCGTCCTCCAGTCTCTCCTGTTTGGGTGTCATTCGTGTTTAGGTGTGGGGCCAAGATGACAGGGAGCTGACACTCCTGACTTTCTCTTTGCTGTCTGTGTAAGTGATAAACCGTCTCTATCTAGAAATGGTTCGCTAGACCTTTAGCCGTCTTATTGGTCTGGTCTTGGCTTTGCCCTGTTCTGTATGTATGAGCTTGACACACCTTTAGTAAACAGCCAAAGTGCATGTTCTCCATGTGGGTACGACTCCAAGAACATCAAAAGTTCATGGTGTACTTGGCCAGTCATAGGTCTTCATTCAGTGAAGGAATTAGGAAGAACAAAAGGTGTAGAGGAGATGCAAAGTCCACTTCTATCTTGGCTCCTTACACGTTATGTGACCCTGGGGAAGTCACTGTCCTTGAGCCTCCTTTTCCTCCTTGTGAATATTAAAAATGTGAGGGACTTAATTGTTCCAGGTCTTTTTTTTAAAATATGTTTTTATTGATTGTATAGATTTTTTGTTTTTTGAGGCAGAGGAAGGGAGAGAGAACTAGAAACAGTGATGTGAGAGAGAAACATCCACCAGCTGCCTCCTGCACGCCCCCTACTGGCATGTGGTCTGACCGGAAACTGAACCGGGACATCTCAGTCCATGGAACAATGCTCAGTCCACTGAGCAACACTGGCAGGGCTGTTCTGGATCTTAATGCCAGAATTTCTTTTTAACTGCACCTAAAAAGATTTGAATACATTCATGAAACCATAGGCCCCAATGGGCAAGGAGGAAGGGCTCAATGCTGGGATGGAAAAACTCTGGCCTGAGAGAAGGAAACCTCTGGAGCAGAGGTTGAATGTTGAATGGTTTGATAAGGTGTATCTCTTTAAACCCTGCTGACTGTGTATTTAATAACTTGCTTGAAAAGTTTCATTTGTATGATAATTGCCTCATCTAATCTAAAGCAAGTCATCACGTAAAAAGCAAATGATTTTCAGAAGTGATTTTCTCCAGTATAAGATATTTGGCCAAAGTGCTAGGTTATTTTCTGAAATTAAGGTAGGTAGGTAGGTAGGTAGGTAGATAGATAGATAGATAGATAGATAGATAGATAGATAGATAGATAGATAATCTAATATTTCTCCTACAACCTCCACCCTTTCTTGTACATTCTTTAATGCTTATTTAATTTATGCCTACTGTGTATCTGATTCTGCCAGCGCTACCAAATGAGTAACGCGGCCTTGCCATCGAGGAGCCTAGAATCTAGTCTATCACTTAGTGCAGTGTATGGCAGGACTGTGGAGAGAAATGATAGTTATGTATAAAAGTGCCTTAGACCCAGCCAGTGTGGCTCAGTGGTTGAACATCGATCCATGCACCAAGATATCGCCTGTTCAAATCCTGATCAGGGCACATGTCCTTGTCGTGGGCCCAAACCCCCGTGGGGTGAATACCGAGGTCACTGGGAGATTAACACAGTGTCTGGCAGGAATTAACAAGGTTTAGGGAAGAGCTGTAGTAACAGTAGTGATAAAGAATAATGTAAAAACAAGTTTATAATAAACAGCACTTTGCTACTAATTAAAAATTAAGTCCGAGAAGAGGAAGTACTTAGAATAATACCCAAGTTCCTTCCCTGGAAGCCAGGGCAATAGTACACACTGAGATAGGACATTAGAGCCCAGGAGGATGTATGAAAGAAAGAGAACAAGTGAAGGGGAGAGACCGCTGAGGTGAACATACAAAGGACATCTGTTGAAGGTGTCTCATAGGTGACCGAGGCTCTGCTCCTCACAGAGGAGATCATAGATGGTAGCTACAGATTTCAGAGACTCTGACATGCAGATTATATTGTCAGCCATGGGAAAGCATGAGATTCCCAATGAAGACTATACATAAGGTGAAAAGAGAGGAATCAACGTTAGAATCTTCAGAGGCATCACCATTCAGAGAAAGTCAGGATATAAGGGCCATTTAAAGAAATAGAACAATAATAATCAATTAGAAGAAGAAAACTAGAAGTGGAAGGGAAGGTCATTCAAACAGAACAGAATATTTAAGGTATGTATCTCAGGTGGCGATGACTTTGAAGTAGTCAAGGAATGCGGTAAATTATGTGATGTAAACCCATATTTGGCACCATCCCTTCCTGTCTGAGAACTATATATCCCCTTCCAACTAAGTCAGGCATGGCCATGTGACTTGTTCTGGCCATGAAACAGGACTGAATGTGTCACATATCATTTCCAAGAGGCAGCTTTAAAAGTCAGCCCATGGCTCACTAAGCTCTCTTTTACCATGTCTCATGGTGATCAGAAAAGCTCAAGACAAGGACTGTTTCATCGCTTCCAGGTCCCAGAATTCAAACAACGCTATCACCACCCCGAGATGGCCACAGAGTGTGAGAGCAAATCAAAACGCTGTACGTATATTAAGTCCCTGAGACATGAGGCTACTTATTACTACAGCTGGGCAACCTCGTGTATTCTTACAGACTCTCATCAAAAGAAGAAGGAAAAGAAGACGATTCACAAAGTGCAACGTTTTAGTTGTAAAAGAACATAAGATCAAGAAACGGCAGCAAATCAATACAACCCTCAAACAGGGGATGGCAGTTAACGTGATATTGGTCAGGAACCAACCTGGAAATGGAAACTACTCTAATGCTTACAGAGCACAGAGAACATCACAGAGTGGTCGCTGCCCAGCTGCAGGGGATACGTTCTATGGCCCCCAGCTGGTGCCTGAAACCACAGATTGTACCAAACCCTCAATGTGCTAGGTTTTATTTTATACATACAAACCCATGATAAAGTTTAATTTATAAGTTAGGCTAACCAACAATAAAATAAAACAATTATAACAATAGATTAGTAAAATTTATATGGCCTCGCTGTTGTGGCTCAGTGGTTGAGCGTCAACTCATGCACCAAAAGATTGCTGGTTCGCTTCCTGGTCAGGACACATGCCCAGGTTGTGGGCCTGATCCCCAGTGGGGGGCATGCAGGAGGCAGCCAGTCGATGTTCTCTCTCATGGATGTTCCTATCTCTTTCTCTCTTCCTTCCTCTCTGTCTAAAATCAACAAAGAAAGAACATTTTTTAAAGAAATGAAAAAAAATGTTGTATTAATCACTTTGGGGCCATTATTTATTAAAATCAGAGAGACTTGAACACAGGCACTGGGATACCACGACAGCCAATCAGGTAACTGGATGCTTGGTGATAAACAGGTGAGGCGGGCACACAGCATGGAGACACTGAACACAGGATGAGTCACAACCTGGGCTGGACAGAGTGGGACTCAGTGACAGCAGAAGCCTTCATCTCACTACTCAGAATAGTGTGCAATTTGAAATATGAATTATTTATTTCTGGGGTTTTTCATTTAATATTTTTGGACCATATTTGACTGTGGGTAACTGAAACCACACAAAGCAAAACTGTAACTATGGGGGGACTATTGGACACAAGATTGATTCCATAGATGACAGAAGACCTAAAATGTCAAATAGGTGATGGTGAGTACACACTGGTAACAGAAGGGAGTCACCACCAACCTCAGCTGGACAGATGGAGAAAAGAGGTGGTATATCCAGAGCCAGGCACTAGAGCCACCTGACAAAAGCTAGAGCCCATGCAGACCTATCCGGCAGGACCTGGCGGCTCACACCTGGTGCAGGCACTTCCGGAGACTTCTTTCAAACAGAGAGGGACAGGAGGCCACACTCTGGCTTTGCCTCTTCCGACCACCTATGTCCTGTCTGGGACTCCCTGGGGCAGAGCAGGGCCAGGAGTCAGCTGATCGGGAAACCTGAGAAGATCCACCTGCAGGAGCAGCTGCTCGCCCTCTGTCTTCCCCTCACAGCGCAGAGGGAGAGCATGGGGAATGGGTTCGGGACAAACAGCCCCAAGGCGGCATTAGAGCAGGTCTGAAGGCAGACTGTGGCAGACATTCTGGGTGGGGATAAAACCTGATTTTTCATTAACGCATAGAAGTGTTAACAGCAAGGAGATTTAGCTATCCTCCAGCATGGCTGGGGCTAGAGCCCATGTGAAGAAAGGGATGTTCATGAGACAAGATATGGAAGCAAAGGCCCGACCATGAAGGGTCTCGCTTGCCACCCTAAGGAGCTTGAATCTATTTCATAGGTAGTCGTACATAACCAAAATTACATCTTGACAAGAAAATTCTGGCATTGTCGTGGACAGCCGCGTGGTGTGGTGTGGAGGAAAGGAGAGGTTGGAGCCCATTAGCCAAAGGCAGAAGTAGCAAAGGCCTGACTTGGTGGCAGGGGCAGTGAAGCTACGGAGCGGCCCGGCTCTAACTTCAGACTTAACAGACTGCATTCTCGTGGCCTAGACTCCAACCCAGCGAGGTCTGTGAGGCCCTCGACTTGTCAGCCAATGCTTTGACAATTCTTTTCCACATCACATTTTAAATTTTCTTTAGAAGTAGGGGATGGGATTATAAGGGGTCTGGATCACTGTCATGGAAAGGACAATCGTAGAATTTGGAGTAGTTTACCTTATAGTCAAGGAATTGTGTCTTGTTGAACATGTAACAGGTTCTCTATAACCCACGGGAAAGATTATCTAGTGAAAGCCCCTCTGAATAGAAGTCCCAAAGTAAAAACAAGACACACTGAAATCTATTCGTTGCTTTATTCATTCTTCTCAGGAGTCACTACATTTTAGGATGGAACATGTCTCAGCAGAGGAGGAGGAGACCACCCTCCTCCTTCCACTCTCGCTTTATCCTGCCGTCACACCAAATGGGAAAGGGCCCCCTGAAAGGCAGAAGGACAGTAATAAGATCAGGTGACATGTATTAGCCCGCTTCCAAAAGTAGTCACCCTCCTATTTAGCCACCTTTTTATTGATGGAAAAACACAGGCTCAGAGTGGTTAAACCTGGTCCGGAATCAGAGAGTTGGGACATGGCAAAGTCACAACTAGAACACAGGGTCCCCACGACTTGGTGGTTCTGTTGGTTAGAGCACCATCCTGATAGGCCAAGATTGCAGGTTCAGCCCCCAGTCAGGGCACATGCAAAAATTAACCAATGAATGCCCAAATACGTGGAACAACAAATCAATGTTTTTCTCTCTCTCTCCCCCTCTCTTCCTCCCCTTCTCTCAAATCAGTAAATTCTTTATTTTTTTTAACTCTTAAGAAAAAACTTCCAGATCTCTGTTATTCAAATAGCCCTATTAGAAATGTAGATATTGCACTTTCCTTTAGATTACTGAACATGAAAACTTTATATGAGCCATTGGTAAGGGGGAAAAGCACATGCCCACCGAGAATGGGGTGCAGTGAAGTGCAGAGGGCGGCATGCGCACTCAGGGAAGCTAAGCCCTGCCCTTTCTCAAGCTACCCCACAAGCTGTAGTTACCAGCAGTTTCGTCACGGACTCAGAGGCCTCTGGGGTAATCTCATTCACACACTTCCTTAGCCCTTCCATAAGGTGCTCAATAGAAATGCCCAGAGTTTGCAGAATAATCTTCAATGGATCCAGGAGGGGGAGAGCGTCTGCAGATACGGGTATGACATCCTTGTCAGGAAGTGGCACACTGTTGAAGAAGAAGGCCGTAGCTGCAGAGCAAAAGAGAAACCACGTGAGACAGGAACATCTGGTCCTGTCTATGACCTCACCACCTTCCACTCTGTCCATCAGTGGTCCATTCCAGCCATGCTCATCTTGACTGCCAGTAAAACTTCTGCCTCAGGGCCTTTGCACATGCTCTCCCAGCTCTCTAGCACTTTCTTTGTCCAGATAGCTACATGTCTTTCTTCGTCACATTATTTGGTCTCTCCTCACTCATTACATTCTCAGAGAGCCATGGGAAATGGCACTCCGATCACCTTCTACCTTTATATTTTTCAACCACTACCTAGAATAGCACATTTTTTTTATTTTCCCTTTATCCTTTCAGTAGCAAGCAGGCTCCTCGAGAAAAGAACCTTTGGTATTACTCACTGCTGCACCCCATGCCTAGCGCACCCTACTGCACCTTGGCACATAGCAAGCACTAAAGAGATCTAGTGATTGACTTAGTAGGCATGTACTTGGCATAGGGCTGTCTCCACAGCCCAGGAGTTTGCAACTAAAGTGGAAATGCCATTAGCAGTCTCCAGTTGGAGACAGAAATGGACACAACCACAGACCAGGAAACTGTTCCAAAAATAATCGAACACTGACTCGGTACCAATGGGTGTAGCTACATAGAGGAATAAGACAAGAATACTCCACTCAGAGAACTCAAACTGTCTGAAGGACAGTAAAGATCTATGTGCACCACGGCACTTGCTGTGCTAACATTATGAACAAAGCTCTATGGAAACACAAAGAAGGGATGACTAATGTGGGACAGTGTTCCAGGATCTTCCCAGAAGCTAGAGTTGGGTCTTGAGGTAAATGCCAGAGTCAAAAGGTAAAGAAGGGAACAGCGTTTTAAAAAGAAGAAAATTAACAAAGGCTCTGAGATTTTCATATGAAAGTGCCCCTACAGGATGGTGCGTCATCTGCCCAGAATGGTTGGAGGGCAGAATTCCAGTGGGGTGTGCAAGGAAGGATAAGGGAGGTGAGGCAAAAGTCAGGTGAGATCAGGGTTTTCAGTGCCTTGAATGACATATTCATGAGTTTGAAGGTGTTTTCCTGAGGGCAAAGAAACGCTATCAAGGCATTTATATGAGACAACTGCATTTTATATCTTCAATTTTAGAAAGATAACTTTCACGTGAAAACAATCAGCAGAAAAGTATAGAGAATGAGCCTGGCCAGTGTGATAGAGCATCGACCCACACACCAAGAGTTCCCTAGTTCAATTTCCAGTCAGGGCACATGCCCAGGTTGTGCGCCTGATTCCCAGCAGGTGTATGCAGAAGCAAGCCAATCAAGTCCTCTCTCATTGATGTTTTGATCTCTCTCTCCCTCACCCTTCCTCTCTTTAAAATCAATACCGAAAAATTATTTTTTAAAAATTATACAGAATGGAAAAATATGTAAATTTTTATAAAGTGTGTGCAGAGCGTGTGCAGATATGTAAACACACATGTGAATGATCATACACATAAGAATATACATCCTCTTGCTGGCTAAGACCTTGCTATAGTTCATTTTCCTTTAGAATCCTTTCATTTCCCCCTTCATATCCTAAAAATTGAGTCCGTTCACCTGTCTGATGTTCATCTTCTACACTTTATTTTTCCTCCCGAATTCTCTTCCAGACGAAGAGTATTTATTTCCTTTCACCCATTTTTCAGTAGTCAGTTTGCCAAGAGATGTTTGTCCCTGGACACTACAGAGCAACAAAATAGCTGAAACTAATGAAGTTACACTTTTGTCAAAAATTTTATATACATTGTCTGCCGGTGTGGCTCAGTGGTGGAGCATGAACCCTACACCAAGTGGTCGCCGGTTCCTTCCCAGTCAGGACACATGCCCGGGTTTTGGGCAAGATCCCTGTGGGGAACATGCAGGAGGCAGCCAATCACCGTTCTCTCTCATCAATGTTTCTATCTCTCTCTTCCTCTCACATCCTCTCTCTCTAAAATCAATAAAGGAAAAAGAAATCTATATAAACCAAACACAAGATAAAGCTGCCAATGTAGCTGTGGGTGGCACCTAGCTTCTCATGATAAATCTTTTGACTTTTTTTTCTTTTTTGATTTTAGAGCGAGAGGAAGGGAGAAGAAGAGAGAGTTAGAACATCAATGAGAGAGAACATCAACTGGCCGCTTCCTGCATGCCACCCACAAAGAATTTGGCCCACAGCCCAGGGATTTGACCCACAGCCCAGGCATGTGCCTTGACCAGGAATCGAACCAGCAACCTCTTGGTGCATGGGTCAACACTCAACCACTGATCACACCCAATAGCCTCCTTACTTCTTACAGTAAACACTGTGGTGTATTCTCTGTATGTACGTATAATCTTCTGGGGAAGGCTCCGCAAAATGTTGTTTTCTGAATGAGCAGTGACCATCTCTATGCACTTTGTAGATACACCCAAATATATCTTTATGAGAGGTAAAAGACTCCCTCCGAAACGACTCTGTCAGTTCCTATTCCTCCATGAAGCCAGCTTCTGTATCGCCACCTGGACATTGACCAATCCGCCTTCAGCTGTCCCACAGAGCACTAGCTGAGTATAGTACACGGACTTCTGCAGACCTCGCACCTCCCCGGCCACACTCTGAGCACCCCAAGAGCCACAGTTCTGTCTCACTCATGTCTGATCCTTCCAATGCTCACCCAGTGCCCAACAGGTTGTAGCCCTTTAATAAATGTCCACTGAGCGTGGGAAGAGATCAATGTAGCCATGTCTCAGGAAAACCAAAGTGCAACCTGACTGATTAGAGGTGAAAGCAAGAATGACTCCATATAGTTTCAAAAGCTTCAAGGGAAGAAGCTGCAGAGTCAGGTTTTGGCTAAAGATTGAGGATAAGGAAAACTATGGTGATCAATGTTTGACAATGAATCTTTGTTGAGACTCTCGGTGGGAGCTGGCTGACTTCGCATGTAGGATAAACTATGGGTATCAGGCCCTGGCTGGTTTGGCTCAGTGGTTAAAGTGTTGGCCTGTGGACCAATGAGTCGCGAGTTTGATTCCAGTCAAGGGCACGTACCTCAGTTGTGGTTCATTCCCGACCCTGGTCGGGGTTGTGCAGGAGGCAACCAGTTGATGTGTCTCTCTCACATCCATGTTTCTTTCTTTCCCTCTTTCTCTCTTCCTTCATCCCACTCTACCTGAAGAAAAATGAAAAAATATCCTCCAGTGAGGATTAAAAAAAAAAAACAATGACTATGGGTATTGGGTTAGGGCTTGGACCAGGGAGTGGGCGTCAGTGGGGTACATCTGAAATCCCTTCCAACCTTCCATTCTGTGGTTCCACAACTCACTCCGCCATGTGCCCTGGAAGCCTCGTCTTACCAGTTGTGTCCCTACCAACAGAAAAGAAGAGCAATGTCACACGTTCCAGGATACTTACCGGAGTAACTGCAAAGGCCAATGGCCACCAGCAGGAATACAGTGACCAGCTTCATGACAGGTGATCTGTGATATTTGCCTGGAGTTTAAAAGCGAATCCACTGAGCCAGGGGTTCCACTTGCTGCACCAAGCACTTTTGCACACACATATTTATACACCTACCAAGGGCCTGACTGTGTCACCACCGCCTGATTCGCCACAGCCGAGAAGAGTGTGAAGGTCATGTTTGCCACTAAATGAGTGGGAGGTTTTTCCGCTTTCCCTCACGTTCCTATGAGAAACAAAGCCCTGATTTAGAGCATTCTCAAGGACCTCTTGCACAAGCTTTTGCAAAACAGAACAGAGAGGCCAGGAGGAGGCCAGGAGCTCCACAAATTCTCCTCCTGGAAGAATATTGAAAAAGAAGGGGAGGTTTGACTTTGGGATCAAAGGGAGTGCAAATTCTATTGCATTCTTCCAGCCTCTATTGACTTAGGGTTTGGAGAATCCCATTACCCAGTGAGCCACCCAGTTGAGGAAGCCATCTGGAGGTCCCATCACCCCTGATATGAAGACTCAAAACAATGGCCTGTAGTGCAGTATTCCCCTAGAACCCCCCACCCCCCACTCACACATCTGCTATGGCGAGAACTTCTCCCTTTTCTAGTGCCTGCCAGGTGTTCTGGGAAGCCCCAGGGAACGCCTTCCCTGTGCCCTCCTGAAGAATAATAGGCTCAGGATCTAAAATCAAAATGCTTTTTTAAAAGCCTGGGATTAAATATGTACTCTTTGTGTGAACTTGGATTAGATTTTTTTTTTTTTTAATGTAGTACTGGTCTCCTCATCTAAAATGAGGACATTTACAGCAGGATAGTCCCAAAGATGTGACCCTAAGAATTTTTTTTCTTTGCAAGACTCTCTATAAACAAGTGGAGTTACCAAAATAAGTAGATTAGAACCATCTGGCAGTTCAATCCCTTGTAATTATGAACAAGGAACACTGTCCCGGCCACAGAAACAATCTGCGGAAAGGCTGCCTCCTGGGACCCCGGAGTCCTGGGGTTCCCTATTTGTAAGCCCACGTCCTGGGGTCCCTTGGGGAACCCAATGCCTCACATGCAAGGAAGAGGGGCCAGGAAACCTTGCAGGCTCGAAGCAGGGGTCACGTCTCCCTGCCCAAGTGGCACTGCTGGCCCCAGCCACCCTCACCATCAAAGAGGGACTCTGCACACTGTGAGGAAGAAATGCCAGAGTATGATCTCCAGGAAGTACCAGGCTAGGAGCTGGGGCCCAAATGCAGGGTGCGGTACTGTGATGTGGATTTAATCAAATGATGTAGACAAAGAACATAACTGAACCACACCAAGGTTAACACTCAATAAGTGTCTCCTGTTGCTAATTCCTGTAAGTTACTGAGTCGTCATGGCTCTTTCCTGAATTGTCTGCTACTCTGTGCACTGCATGCAGGAGATCGTGTGGTACTGCCGGGCACACTCAGTCCTGCCGCTTCTGTTCCATTCTCTGCAACAGAAGCTCCCGTTTCCCCGGTGTTACCACCCTGTCAGGAATGCTTACAGGCCAAACCCTCAGAAATCAAGAGGGTGTGGTACAGCGGTGATGAGTCCCTGCCATCCTTTATTTTTATGTTACAAACTTTTAAGAAATATATATGTTTTCATTGATTTTGTCGAGAGTGAGAGAGAGACAGAAACATCAATGTGAGAGAGAAACATCAATAGTGCCCTCCTGCACACCCCCTACTGGGGACCGAGCCCACAACCTGGGCATGTGCCCTGACCGCGAATCAAACCGGGACCTCTCAGACATGGGACGACACTCAATCCAGTGAGCCACTGGCCTGCCTATGCTACAAGCTTTCCATGGGACACTAACCAACACTGCCCTCAGGTGTGCTTGTCGCTTGCAAGTTTGCTTTCCAACCCTTTCCCTGCACTTCCCCTCTTCTGCTCTGCTCTCCCCAGGGAGTTGGGCCTGTCACACTGTGGCTTCCAGACTTCCTTGCCAACGGAATCTGGTTAGGACTGGACCGTGGGAGGCGCTGGCAGAGCCTGGGCAGTGACTCCATCTTCTCCAGGGCTCCCGCTCCCTCCAAAATGCCCTCTGTCTGTGCTGCCACCCAAGCAGGGTCCACCAAGGTTCCAGCCTGACGGGCGGCCTCAGCTCTGGCCCCAGCTCTGGCCCCGCTTCCCACTCCGTCCCTCCTGGCTGAGCACACTAACCCCTTCCAGCATTTTCTAACCTCAGGAGCGACTCACCGCCCCCACTACCACCACCGCCCCTATCGCTTTCACTACATTTCTAATACCTTGTAGTGAATGTCAGTGATTCTAAATAATTTTTGGAAGTGCTTTTCGAATGGATTTCTTGGGGAGATTAAATTGTAATCAGGAGCAGAAATGCAATCAGTCATTCAACAAACTCTTCATGGAGCACGTTTCACGTCTCTGGCTCCTGGTTGATCCTGGAACATGGCAGGACCAAATCAGACATGGATCTTGCCTCATTTTAACTAAAGAAAACTGTTTGACGCAAGTGGGTAATCTTTCTTTGTTCCTCTGTAAGACGAATGACAATTTGAAGACGTCACCTGCCACTTCTACCGCTTTCTCTGCAAGAGACAGTTCACATGCCAGACACTGATGGGGAAAAAGAGAACTCAGCCTGGGGTTCCATCCGACAGGCTTCCTTCCAGCTGGAAGGAGCAGTCGCTGGAAAGGTCACACTAGACCCTGGAAGGTTCTTTACTGGCTGAAATTTGGATGCCCAAAGTGACGTACACGTAAGCCTATAAACAAGAGGGGGAACAGACATACAAAGTGCCTCTGAAAACACGAGCGTGTAACATAAAATCAAGTGTCCTCACTGAGTGTGTCAGCTTCATAGAGCTTGGAGAGCAGCTGAGCTACCACCGGGCCTCTGTCCACACTGATCGCTTCCTATTTGTCGCGAGCAAATCAGTCTGTCGTCCTTGAGGCTTCTCGCCCCTTTTCCAGGCCCTGCAGAGCAATCCACATGGACTGGGAGTGCGGGAGGATGTGACACAGGAGATGACCATGAGCCGGTCGAAGCAGAATCGAGGGAACATCAGAACGGAGAGAAGTGATCTGTCCAGGCTCAATTTTGCTATGATGACTTCACGGATTCCAGTGGGTTTTGAATTCAAGAATGAAGATAGGCAGAGCGGATGAGCAATAAAACTAAAATCTGCGATGTTTAACTTTAGAAAACAATTTGAGACCATCGTGTGGGCTGAGAAGAAAGGTGTGTGGACAGGGTGTGTGTCATCTTCCTGTGCCCAGCGGTGTTCACTCGTGGTGTCTGATGGTGGCAGGTGTCAAGCACGCGTTTGGTCTACAATCAAACCACCAATGAGTTGTGTCAGATGAGGGCGATGAGAAAGACTGGCTACAAAAGACTACACTTCGAGTTTGATCTGGCAAGACTCGATCTTAGTGACAAATACGGGTTCTTGAGCACAGGGAAGCCCCGTCACAGGAACTTAGACAGCAAATTAGCTTTAGGGGTGGTGGAAAGCTCTTTGGGGACGTGGGCTCTGGGCCCTGACGACACACTGCCAACCCACGGCCTACTCCCACATGCACAGCTACTGTCACTGCCTTCCTAGGGGACCAGGACAGCATCTGCTACGTCATACTTCCAGCAAGAGGATAAGCCTCACAGAGGACAGCTCTCCAGTGTCCAGCAAGCATTCTCCCCGCCACGACCCTGTCCTAAGTCCCGACTTCCACGGCCCTGTGTAGAGAAAAGATTTCACCATGGACCCTGGCAACCTTGCAGGGACCCACACCAGCAAAGTGTGGAACCACGGCTTATCTGAGACTTAGGGGAACACCTTGTGACACTCCCGGAACAGGACATGGGAGGCCTGTAGGAGCTACTATGAGTCATTTTCCATCATCCTTCCCAGCTTCTCTGGGAGGCTGTCTGAGACGTTCTCCATTGCCTCTCAGGACCTATAAGGTGTGGGGCTCTCTGCCCTACCCTCTCAGAACAGGGCAGCAGAATATAGATGAAACCTCCTCCCAGGAGACTAGCATTGGCCCCTCCAGGACAGGGAAGCTGACTCCGGGCCTGCCGTCCTCCAGTCTCTCCTGTTTGGGTGTCACTCTTGTTTAGGTGTGAGACCAAGATGACAGGGAGCTGACTTTCTCTTTGCTGTCTGTGTAAGTGAAAAATCGTCTCTATCTCGAAATGGTTCGCGAGACCTTTAGCCGTCTTATTGGTCTGGCCTTGGCTTTGCCCTATTCAGTATGTATGCTCGACACACCGTCAGTACACAGCCAAAGTGCATGTTCTCCATGTGGGCACGACTCCAAGAACATGGTGTACTTGGCCATGTCATAGGTCTTCATTCGGTGCCTCCACTATAAATCATTTCCCCCTTTCCAATGTTTATACTATGACTCCTATGGCCAGGAGTTCCGAGTGGGGAGGCCTTTTTATAAGCCATGTTGGCTCCCGGCAAGTCTCATGCATATGTGCAGGGCAGATGATGTTTGCTTAGCAATGCCTCCAGTTTCTCTGGGTCTTCCCAGTGTGGGGCTGCTTTTTCTTCCCTTGAATGCCCTCTTCTTCTGCAGTGACTAAGAGCACTGGTCCTGCATCCGTCCTGTCTGTGTTCATGTCCTCGCTTCTCCTTTGGGGAAGTTCATGTACCTCTCTTAGCCTGTTTTATTATCTTACAGAATGAGGCTAACCGATGTCTCTTCCTTATTGAATTGTTATGAGGAGTGATGAGTTTAACATACACAAAATGCTTACAGAAATTAGTACCTCAGAATGGACACTATTATCATTATTATTATTATTATTCCATTCTATCTCTAGTTTTCGTTTTCTAGCTTCCTAACCACAATGCCAAACACAGCAACCACCATTACCAACATGATCATAAACATTGCTTCTTGATTATTTAATTCTGAGTGACTTTATTTATAACTTTCTCTTTGATAAATTTCATATTTCTTTGGCTTGCTATATAGAATAGAAGGAGGGAGATTGATAACAGCTGTATTCAGTAAACAAATAGTGGAG